TCGAGCTCGGCATCGGCGCCCCGCTCACGGGGCTCTACATCCGCGAGGACGTCGATATGCGCTGCAACGTCTTCACCTCGAGCTTTGTCAAGAAGACGCTCAAGAAGAGCCATGGTTTGCTGGTCGACCGCTTAAAGACAAAGGTTCACCGCACCGTCGTCGCTGCCGCGCATCAACGGCACGGCAGTCAGAACTCACTACCGGGGTCGGTCAGGTCCGGCTCCAGCGGGGACAGCGCCACGCAGCTGCAGCATCAACAAACATACCCGAACCCGGCTTACACGAACAACAACGTCCTCGGCAACCAAATCAGTCTCCCATATAGACCTTCATATCCCAACAACAGCATACCCGTGACCGCACCAACACCGGCACCGACGCCCCCAGCCAGCGACGGCTCCCAAACCTCACAAAACGCATACCCGGAACCCCTCCGTGTCCGCCGCACCACTAACCAAACTGACTCGACGTTTTCTCATCAACACCAACATCAACATCAGCAGAAGCCGTCGTGGCCGGATATCAAATCGCAACCGTCCGCCGCCAACGGGTACGCGCACGTCAACTTCTCGTCCGGCCATAACAACGCATACGACGCGAAACCTTTGCCTCCGTCGCCGTACGCGGGAGGGAGAGTGGGAGGAGGAGGAGGTGGTGGTGGTGGTGGTGATGTTGGTCAGCAGCAGCAGCACCAGCGAAATGGGTGTCAGCAGAACAGTGGCGCAACGCTGCAAGGGCCCTTTGTCGCTGAGCTGGAGTGAATGAGTGAGATTTCGGGAGTGAGTGGTGGCGGAGTGTGCCCTTTGTGTCACAGTCTTTTGTTTCCCGTCGCTTCGGCCTAAGGGTCTGTTTGTGTTGCTTATATAAACTCGATACCCCATATCTTATTGTTAATTTTTGGCAATTTATCAAAGACACGCATACCAGTACATGAGAACCTCCTTCGTTATAAGTGAGATCTGGATGTTTTGTGTAGTTCGCGTGAGGCGCAGGTTACGTCCTTGGGCTGGTGAGATTGGTGAAGTTGACCAAGATTAAGTCTCAATTTTTCCGGACATGAGGCTGAGATCTTGTCGTCTTTCATATTCAATTGAATGACTAAGATCTTAAATAACAAACCGCTATTCCAAATAGGCAATCTTTTACATCAAAACACCAACTAACAAACACCGTGTTGCTACAGACCGAAAATCCTTCTCAACAGAGACATCAAATCCCCCGGCAACTTTCTCATCAAGCTCATCATTCCCTCCCGAGCCAACTGGGACCCCTGAGCTTCCAGGACCTGTCGCTTCTCCTGCTCCTTCACCTGCGTCTCCATCCCCTTCTTCGGCGTGGGCGTATACCTTCTTTCCCCATCCAACCTCTGCATCCCATATCTCTTGGTCACAAGCGTAGACCAAACCTCCATACCCAAAATCCACGAAACGCACCCGTCCCGCAAGACCCTCAAATTCACATCATCAACCTCGTCTTCCAACATCGGCAGCCCCTCGCAAGCTCCAAGAAACTCCTTCACAAGATCGCTAGTCTCCCCGCCCAGCTTCGTCATGGCCTCTTGCGCACCTATCCGGTCCTCCTCCATGAGAACCCTCACGCCATTGTGCCCGTCCTCGCCCTTGGCCTGCTCTTTATCGAAACTGTAAATGTCGTTTTGGTTGATGATGACGTCGACGCAGAGACCCAGCAGCGAGTCCACCGCGGGACTCTGCAAAAAGCCGGGGCGGATGGCGCGGTCGATGAGGAGGAGCGCCATGCCCGGGAGAACGCCAATGGTACGCCGCCGGACGGCGGTGTACCTCTCCCGGCTCGGCACGCAGTTGTGCCCTCCCGCCTCCCCGTCCGGCCCCGTTCTCCGGAGCGCCACCTCGTCGCCCACGCCGTCGAGGTAGTCTGCGAAGCTGTCCACGAAGAAGTTCCACGAGTCGAGCGTGCCGCCCACGGCGTCGCTGCGATAGCGTATCGCAATGTCGGCCGCCATGCGGACGCCCACCCACACCTCGTCGTCCCCGTCTCCGTCCCGATCTTGCCCAATCTCCTCGGGATGCCGAAACGCGCGGACCATGGCGGCAGATTGCCTCCGCACCTGGGCCTCGCCCTCCTCCGTATCGTCCACGTTGTCCGTGAACTCGTCAATGACGAAGAAGTGGAGCATGACGAGCGCGGCGAGAAGAACGTGGCGCGCGGGCTGGTGGGCGTAGATAATGCATGCTATCTCGGGGAAGTCGCCGGCGATGATCTTGGAGATGAAGAGTTCGTTGATGCCCTTGTTGATGGAATTTGGCTTGGCGTTGCTGTAGCAGTAGCCTCGCAGCCAGCTCTCGGATTCGGCCTTGATGTACTGGGAATCCGGGTGGTTGTTTGGGGGGTAAGGAGATGGCCAGCTTGGGTGTCGGCGCCAGTCTGCTAGGAAATCTGGGATTTGGATGGTGGTGTGTTGGATGGTATGTTTCTCAGTGATTGGGGACGCCATGATTTACGGCTTGCCAACGTAGATCCAGTTGTCTGGACTCTGGAGTAATATGACTGGATGATGGTGTAATTGAACTCTTTGAAGGGAAGAAGAGGTTGCTGTGGACAAGTGAGAGCAGCAGGATTTGGTTTAATGTCTTGGGCTTCAAACGTTTCTTTGGCCACTGCTTGGAACTGAGAGCTTTATAGCCATCCTTCGAGGGGCTACGCCGTACCACCAGCAGACTTTCGAGTCACGAGGCTCAGCAAAGACCGAGAGGAAGCCTAGAACTTGATGTCATCCAAGGTACACGATATCACATCCAAACCAACTTGTCACTTTCAGACTTGATAACGGTCATCATATCGGCACACAATCGCTTCCTAATCCGGATGTGAAACGGGGCCTCTTCCCACTCCGGAGACAAGGGACAGAGGCCAAGGGACGCAAAAACCTGATGTGAAAAGCTTCTCCACCTCCAACACGAAGAAAAAACTACCGATACACTGCCCGTAAGGCGTCCCATCGAAGAGACTAGGCTATCGCCGTAGCCCACCGGAAAACCCCCCCTGGTGCCCCCACGCAACTCAGCCCTATCGCCATTGAGGAACTGCACAGCAGACGCTTGTTGGTTCGCAAACGCACCCAGGCCAATCAATTCGTGGCCCCCAAAGCCCATAGGGCTGAGACTTGTTCGGTCTTGTTGAAGAATCCGGTTCCAGGTCCGCGGTAGAGTTACCTTCGGACCGGGGCTGAGGGCTCCCCGGTCCCCGGCTCTCCGCCCTTCTCTTCCTTCCTGTGACTCGGGCGGTGGCACGGTGATGGATGACTGGCTGTTTCCACACCCACCCACACACACACACACACACACACACACACACACACACACACACACACACACACACACACATCCACTATCACTATCACACTCTCTCACATACACACTCACACAATGCCAACATCCTCTTACTTGCTTGTCCCGAGAATATCCATAAGATCATAAGCGTGGGACAAAACTCCATCAAAAATAAAACATGCAACACCAGGCATTCGCCGGTCGTCTCCGACCCGACTACTACTCTGGCCCTCGCTGGTTTATCAATGGGAGAGCGGACGGGATCCCGAGTTCTCCAGTGGGTATGGTCGCATGTGTCGAGATGATCTGGCAATTCTGTTCTTGTTCCAGCAGGCTGGTTGACCGCGGAGCGTCGTTGGACGGGCTCGGCGGGATTACCACAACCAGGACCCCGGGATCGACATAAGCCAGGACGATTAGTCACAACGTATCTAAGCCCCCCAAATTGGGGTCTGGAAAGTGGGATGTGGAGAAACATGTTGGTCACAAGTGCATGCTCTCTTTTTACTCAATTCGGCATCATCTTACCCCCTCCTCTCGTGCCACACCTTGTTCTGGCCGTGGTTGGGAGGACCGGTGGGAGCTGACTGTTTGCTTCGCCCGAGGCTAGCACACGGTGGCGGTGGTCCAGGCTTATACGGGCTGGGGGGGGGGGGGGCATTTGCGTCGTTCAAGGTCTCGGCCCGGGAAAAGCGGGGCCGGGGCGGGCGTCCGGCTCTAGCAGGCAGCACAAGGCAAGGCTTGGATGGCAGCCTGCCAGGCAGACATGGACGGAAAAAGTCATTCGCGGGCGATGGTTGCTCCCTTCAAAATGGTTCTAGATCGGGGATTGTGGCAGTCAAGACTTATTTTGTAGATTTGTTATCTGGCCACATGATCTTTACGGGTGAGCATTAAGCGGACAGGTTTGGAAATGACCCTTTCTCATAGTGCGAGGTTCAGAACATTAAATCTTTCGATTAAGCGGCAAGTTGCCTTACCAAAATCCAATTGCAAAGCCAATCGCGCGAACCTTGGAGGAATGGATATAGCTCTGGCCGTCACTCAATTTATCCAAGAGCAATCTCACGACAACGGTCCCTCAAGAGACACGTCGCACCTACATGCCAACTCCATCGCGAGGTTCTCAGTCAAACACGCCCGCGCGGCATGAGACATGAGAAGCAAAAAACGAGAGAAACGACGTAGATTCGAGCTCGCAACCTCCAGAGCCCATCATCGTATTCCGTAGAAAAACGTACATGTGTGAATAGGCAGGTATCACATCATAAACATCGCTCGTCACCAAAATCACTATGGAGAACGATGCCATAAAAAACAAACTATCCATGGCATGATGTAGGACCGTGAGCCAACATACGCTTCCACCCATTCAAGGGCAAGAATCGTACCGCTCGGCCATCGACTACAACGGACGGTGTTTGTTGAAAGATGCACCACTTTTGTTCGCTATATATCATTCTGCATGTCCAACATTGTGCTCTTGGTAACTTTGAGTCATCCCGCCTCCCGAGAACCGCTTTACAGCCGAGCGATCAGCGATAAGGTAAAAATATAAAATCAAATACATCATTCTGCTATATCGTTCTACTAATCTCACATGTTTTTGGCCCATATCCTCATCGTCATTTTCACACAGTACCCGTTCTGAAAATACAAGACCTATAACATCGCCTCTCATTTCCTGGCAGTCTAACGCTTCACAGAACTGCAGTCAACGTGTGTGGGCGCCGGATGATACGTTGCCAAACTGAAGTTGGAGTTTCCATGCTGCCTGCCGTTTCGCGGGCCTCTCGGTGCAAGGGTCACATCTTTGTATCCGACGTCGAATGTGCTCCGGTCGTTTTCATTGTAAAAGGCGCGAACAGGTCCGGGTGTTGGGTCACTACGAGTGAAGTTCTTTGGCCTTGACCCATCTTGTGGGCTCGGAACAATAGGAAACTCCCGGTAAGGGGGAGCAGAAGAGAGAGGCAGGGGAGGCTGGTTGTGATACACCCTCGGATAGTGGCGCTGCGCTGCTAGCCCTGCAGGTGCTTCGCGAACTTGACGACGCACATCAGACGCTTGGTAGTATCTCTGGTTAGGGTCGTGAGACGAGGATCCTTGGTACTGAGCAACTGTATGTTAGCAAAGCTGTCCCACTGAGTCGGTTTCGGCAAAGAGCAAGCTCTTTTCTGAGGCACATACAAAGGAGCCCGTTCTGGTGAAGTCCGGAACGCCCGACTCAGACGGCTCGCCGGCATACTGCTGCGCAGGGCGGTCCGTCATTACGGTCTGGATTTTGCTACCAGGCTGAGGTGCTGCCCTCTTCTGGGTCGTCAACGACAGGGCTGCTACCCTGTTCTCGAGCGTCGCAGTCTCGGAACCGGAAGACATGGACGTAGAGGAGCGACTGACGCGGGAGAAGATGCCCATGATGAATACTCGGTAGATGCCACTTTGCGATAAAGACTGAAGGAGGGTGAAATGTGTGAGGACAGTCGCTGTAGAAGGCTGTAGGAGGCTTGGAAATTTGTGAAGTCTACAACCGCCAGGGTTGAAGTAAAGTTGGTATGAGGATGCTTGAGAGGATGAGATGCTGAAGATGACTTTGACTGTCTTGGAATCAATGATGAGCGCCACAGTCTGATACTTATAGTTCTCGCGATAGAATTGTGACCAGTGCGAGTTCAAGGACCAAGTTGATGGGGATCTACTGAGAGAGCCTGTTCTCGGAATAGTAGCAACAGTGTTGATGTTGGACGGGCCGTGAACATGAGGCCATCACCACCCGCTGGCGTACCTCATGCGACCAGACGGTCTCTGAAGAACCAACAAGGTCCAAATTTTGTGACTCGTCATCTCGAAGAGCTTGGCTTCTGCCATTGATGTAACGAGATAGGAATTGTGAAACAGACTTGTTCCACTGAGGCAAGGGGACGAAGGTAGGCTTCACTTCTCCGCGCGCCTGTCCACTCGCTGAAGCGCCGTGCAGCTCCGTCAACGAATAGAAACAAACTCAGATATCTTCAGCTACTATAGCCAGAGCAAAGCGGCAGTGTTGGACTCCAAGGATCAGCTCCAGTTTTGTTGGTCGTTGGGCGCTTAAGTATGGCTTTGACCAGTCGCGTGCGGTGACGCCCGCCCGGAAAAGCGGGGTCTCGAGGCTGATGCCCCGACTTCACTGATCGTCTGGGGAGATTCACTGCACTCATCCTCTTTCCATCTCTAACTTCCAAACTCATACCAGGAATCATCGGAGCGAAACGCCGTTAGCCGGAATCAAGTCTATTGCTTTTCCTTTTTTTTGGACTCTATCACCCGTTCGATCGTTGTTTCCGAGCGCTGAGCCCAAATCATCACCACCTCTCTCTCGTTGGCCCATCACTGGCCGGATTGAATATGGAAGAGAAGGCCCCTGCAGCTGAGAACATCTTGCGTCAACTGGATCTGTTGAAGAAACTAGACCTCTCAGATATTGAGGTTCAAATTCTTGATATTCTAGCCTACGACGTTCGAGCGACCAGTTGGAAGACCGCTTCAGAGGCTGCATTGTACTTGGACGCTCTGTGCCCTCCTCTAGAGCAGCGCAAAGAGGCAGAAGGCTACTTCTATGTCATTTGGAGCCTCGTAACAGATATTGCAACCAGTCATGACGTGACAAAAGAGACGCAAACTCATCTCGTCAACACCCTGTCAGCATTGCAGCAATGTGCAAAAGGTGAAATCGACATCTGGGGTGTAAGTGTATTTCGCTAACGAGCACTCAAAATTGAACCACAAACGACTGATCATCTCAAACCTGACAGAACGAAGAAGACAGACAACGCGTTTGGAAAGATCTGCCATTGTTTTACATGGCCGTTGAGGCTTCTTTTAGTGGTAAGTTGCAATTGAACCACTGTCGTCCCTCATGAAGAGGGACTAGGCTGCGTGCGGAACTGAAGGCCTAACGCGAAACAAGACCCAACTCAAGAAGCGACAACAGAGAGCTTCACCTCCAAAGACGCACAAGAATGGCGCAACATCAACAGATTCGGCGCTATGTTACTGAGAATGGGCGTCTTGGGCCTTCACACGCAAGCAATGGACGCATTGCGTTCGGCGCTTGAGGAGGAGCCGAGCCCCATCCCGGCGGTTGCAGAGTGCCGGCTGCGCGTCGCCTGTGAATGGATCCGTCAGAGCGCGAGGCCTCTCCTCGGGTGGGCGCGGGAGAACGTTGGCTATTCCGAGATGCCAGAGTATGAGAGGGACTTGACGGAGGAAGCGATAGCATATCAGGGGGTTCTGTACGAGGGTCCGCCCATCATGTGTCTCCAGCGGTGGGGATTCTGGATGGATCGGCTCGAGTGGCTTGCGAAAAGTGAGGATTCTGGGCTGATTGAGGAGGCGAGGACGGAGGTGCTTGAGGCGTTTTGGGTTATGAAGGAGGTTGAAGGGCGGATAGGACATACCCTGTGATGAAGCGACAATATGCCCAGCTTCTCACCCCAAATATCGTTGAAGTTCCACTCTAGACTCAAAGCATAGCTCAGACGCACGTAAGAGTAGATGGTTTGTGAAGAATACGCAGGCTGTACAATGTCCGAGTGAAGCCAAATCTCGTAGAATTTTCCCTGCCGATTGACGTTTCTCTTCCACTTGCTGATACGAAGATTCTTGAGTCAACAATTTTACTCTCTGCCACAATTGCTTTACCTAGCTGGTTAATATCACAAGGGAGCCAACAAGACATACTGATGTCTACTACCATAACCGTATAACAAAGTTGACGGATCGTTTCTCTTGTTCAGAACTGAGGGTGGATTTGCGGTCATCAGCATTCGCTGTTGGGCATTGCTAGATGTCTAGGACCAGGCATCGCGAGACAGCGGAAATTGTGGGTGAATCGTTCTATCAGCCGAACATCAATTCATGTTACGCAGGGCAACTTGAAGACAAAAGTCCGTGTTACAGCCGCTGTGTGATCTGCTTCGTGCTCACTACTGAGAGCGTACTCATAACATCCAAGGTCGAGCAATTTGCAGGTCCTAACTTGCCACCGATTCCCCTTTCGACTACAGTAGTCTCGTGGAAGATATTGGATGTCAAATCCGAAATGCACTCGTTCTTTGGTGCGGTGTGCCTAATCTTTGGAATTCGAAAAGCCATGTCCGATCAAAAGGCAACATCTTCTGTTCTGATGATGATGATCATGAGACGACATCACGAACTCCACCACACATGCCTCTTCTTAAGGAAAGAGAGGTATTTGTAAGCCAAGCATGTAGATATCATGCACCAGATTGCCCCGGAAATTCGGCGTCAACATGGACATACTCAATCCCGAGGCGTCGACATCAGCGTGACATCAACGTCTCCCCAAAACTTGTCTCGAAAATTCTCCGTGATTCCTGCGCATCAAGAAAGCGGGAAGCAAAGCAAGGGTCCCGCCTTTTTTTCTCTTTGTTATTTACCCCTCTTCCCCATTTTCCTGCGACACGATACATGACATACAATGACCATGCATTAGCATGAACCTATTGATCCCGCGTTTTCGTTCTGGTTCCAATCGGAGGTTTTACTTCCACCAAGAAGTGAGGGAGAAACAAAGGACCGATGAACAGTGAGCCGTTGGACGGGAACCTAACCGCAACCCAAACCTAGCCAAATATTCCCATCCCTCCTGATGGCAAGGGAGAGAAAACTCTATAGGGCGGCAAGTTGGCTCGCCGTGTACCTCTACCAGCCGTCTTTTCGGGATGCTCGTCCCGCTCTCTTGCTTGAACCCTCCCTAGATCTCACTAGAAACTGGGACGAACATGGACAAGGGGCGGCGATTGCGTGCGCGATATCGAACGGGCGGACTTATATCAAATCATTGTCGTCGTCATGCTCACCCCCTCTTCCTTGGAAGTTCATGTGCAAGTCAGCCAAATGCTTTGAATTGCCTGCAAGCGGAGAAGAAGAAAAAGTATACTGTGTGGTACAAGTACAGCTGATCTATATCATAAGCAGATCCCATATGGCCCATAATTCAGGCATCCTTCCCCATAACTCCCGGTATGCCAGCTTCTTTTTATATTCTTCAAGCGGATACCTCTGTCCTCAGTATTCCTGTTGGTCGCCTTATCATCTCTGTGTGTATATATATAATCCTGTTACCGTTGTTGCCTTGTAATTCGTGTGTTCCATCCCTCTCTTGTTCGTTGCTGTTTCCCACCTTATCATCATTCATGTTTGTTTTCTTGCCGTTTCTAAGTCATCATCGTTTCGCCACAACTTCGTCCTTTTCCCTCCTCTTGAAAATCCAATAATTTCCTCCCTGGCCATCAAAGATACGTTGTTCAGCTCGATCATTCGTTTCGTCATCGACATCAAGTGTCAGGTAAAGAAAGAGATGTAAAAAGGAAAGTAGCACCGACATCCGTTGCCAGGAGTCAGCGACAAGTTCGAAACGTATGCCGAGCGCAGCCCGTGGTCCACTAGAGTGGACGTTTCCTATCATTTCGCCCCCGAGCCGAGGTAACGAATGGAACGAGCGCTAGGAAGGGAGAAGAAGAGAAGGAAAACCTGATGAGAGTGAGAGCCAAGGAAAGAAGAATGAAGAAAAGAGAGTCCATGTCGGACAGAACGGGAGAGACGGCGTCAGAAGTCCTCATCCATCAAACACCGATACCAGAAGAAGGCACAGCACGCAAACACCCAGAGGGCACGCATGCTGTGCCCGCCCGCGATCTGCGCCATATCGATTTGTCCATGAGGATGGCCCGCCCTAGCTCTCGCTGCCGCCTCCTCCCGCCTCCGCTCCTCGTCCGCGAACCTCACACGACTATACGGATCCTGCGATGGGGCGTACGTCGGTGGCGGATGCCGCACTTGCTGCTGCGAGGGCTGCCGCTTCACAAACTCCTCGGTCCCGGCGACGGCCGTGGCGTCCGTCCCCGCCGTGTTAGCGGTGCCGGCGGTGCCCGCCGTCCCTGGCGCCTGCGGCGTCACCATATCCATCATGGGGATACGCCGCGGCTGTTGCGCCGTGTATGGGGTCGGCGTCGGTTGACGTGGTAGTGGTGGTGGGTGCATTGGTGGTGCTGCCCCTCCATCTCTGGCGCCAGTTGGAACCGAGCCTCGGGCCCCTCCTCCCCCGCCCCCGCCTCCTACTCCTCCGTCTGATGAGGAGGAATAGGACGAATAGTTGGAATAGATGGAAAAGGAGCTACGGTGAGGGTGTTGTCGACCAAGGACGCCAGAGCTTGCTCGGACACTGGCTCGTTCACTGTTGCGGACTCGTCCGTTGTAGTTGAACTCCCGAACAGGGCGCTCGCCGCCGTTGTTAAGGGTCGTCGACTCGGCTTCTCCTACTCCCTGCGCAAGACCTCCCAGTCCCGTTACGCCTAGTGGTCGTTGCTGTCGCTGCTGCTGCTGTTGTTGCCGTTGCACCTCCTGCACCTGCTGGT